TATAAATCATTGTTCATTGTTCATTGTTCATTGAAACGGACGCGCGCTGGTTGCAGTTCAAACACCTGTTCAAACGCTGCACTGTAAGGTGACTGCCGGTGTGAGTTTTGATCCAGTTTACCAGCCGAAGTGCAGCTCGCAACAGGCAATGTGGCTGACACAAATGCAGGCTAGATCGGTCGCCGTCGACCAATAATATTGCTCAGCCGATGCGGTCGGCTAGCTGACAAACCTCCAGAACCAGTAAAGCGAGTTAGGTGAAAAAGCGATGGTATGATTCCTACCCTTGGCGATCTACTCATAGAGCTGGTAATTTCTTGTCGGATGAGCGGAACTTGGGCGATATGTGATGAAATGCGTAGGGAAAACCCCACTATACGGAGGATCACTGGATGATTGAAGAAGCTTTGCACAAGTTTCCCAAAAGGTGGTAGATATCCTTTCAACTTTTTCCAGTGCCGGAAAGAGGACACAAAAGAGAAATGAATGATATATGATAATTCAGAGTCCGTTAAGATTGCAGGTAGATAACGTACACAATGCACAAATTGTCGGAGCTCCGGTTTTGTGTCCACTCGTCAGTGACCTTGACAAAGACCGACTTGTGGCGCCACATCCTTGAACAGCTGACTGCTGCCATCGAAGAAATGATTGGGCGCGCAAACTGTAAACGGCCCGGTCGATTTGGCGACAACAGTGGGACCAATGGCGCACTGGTGTCAATGAAAAATGCAGCGTTCGCTGCACATGTGGCGGACCCTGATATCTACTAGAACTAGATTGATTTGAGATCTCCTTCGCAGCAGGAATGCTTGGTGGAAGGAGAAGACGAAACAGATGGAATGCTACGCCGAACGCCGTCAACGTGACGAATTCTTTGACTTCTTGAAGGCGGTGCATAGACCAATGTTGCAGCCGCTGAGGCCGATACTCCATCCCATTCCGGGCTCTGCCTATACACAGACTACAGATATAATGCAGCTATGGCGAAATCCCTTTGATTGTCTCTTGAACAACCGTTCAGAGATTGACTGGACTGTTTTGCACGGGTGCAACAACAAGTGATGAATTTGTGTCGCACCGACACACAGACACTGGATGAGATGCAGAGAGCACTTGGTCAGCTGCGAAACGGCTAGTGCGCTGATTCTTCCGACGAGATACCGCCAGAAGCTTTGAAACACGGCGGACCCGCGTTGGTGAATGTACTGCACCATTTGGTGCAACGTGTTTGGAGTTAGGAGGAAGTGCTGGCCGAGCTAAAAGATGCCCATGTGCTGCCACTGTACAAGGGCAAAGGGAGCAAGCATTGTTGTACAAATTATTGTGGTATCATCTTGCTGAGTGGTGTGGGGAAGGTGATTGCCAGAATCCTGCTCAACCGTCTCGTCACTCAGGTCGCTGAACGGAAAGTAGCGGAAGAGCTGTGTGGATTCGGTTCGGGCCGCAGCACTATATGTATGGTGTTCGCTGCTCGTAAACTGTAGAAGAAATGAGGAGAGCGACACCAGCCATTGTACTCGTTGTTTGTTGACTTCACCAAGGCATTTTATACGGTTAACCGCGAGGCACTGTGGCTGGTGTTGGGTAGGTTTGGTTGTCCGGTTAAGTTTTTAGGTTCTGTTGAAAATCTGCAGAGTTGTATGCGGCCGAGGGTGCAGCTCTGTGGACAAACGTCGGACGATTGACGTTGTTTCTGGTGAGAAGCGAACCTTTGTCCTAGCTCCTGTTCTGTTTAATACATACCTACATGCACTGTTGTCTTGTACTTTTGAGGATATTTGTAAGTACGGTGTCCGTGCGGAACACCGTATATATATATATATATATATATATATGTATATATATATATATATGGTTGGCGGCATCCCGTTTCGGATTTGCCTGTCACTGTGGCAAGCCACAGGACGACTGCGCCTACAGAGAGACCATGGGTGGCTTGCGCTGCATCACCCACAGCTCCAACCACACGCCCCATATCCAGTGTAAACCCGAAGGAATAAGACCGGGAGGCATGCAGATGGGAGCCACGTTTCGTAAACGGAGCCGGCGCACACTGCTTCACAAGTGAACACAAGCACGCTGTCTTTGGGGAATCAATGCACACAAGGCGGTGGTTGGACCGTAGTCCACTCCACACTGAGTGCATGAAACCACCCTTCGAGCCTAACACAGCCACAAGGACCGTGCACCCCGTCCCCTCCAGCAACGACCTACTGTCTCCTGGAGCCAGTATGGACGAGGTATTGGGTAGTAGACAGGTAGGCGCATTGTCAACGTGCACATCAAGCGCACACACACCGGGGATAGTAAACAACAGCCAATCACTTGAGAGAAAAATAACCAAGAAAATAAATCGAGTAATGCATTAAGAAACGGTGACATAACTCTTAAATTTTGAGCATATGAAATAAGTTGTTTACCAACGAATACGAGGCAAGTTCACGAGGTCAGGAAGTTTATTTTACGGAAATGCTACAAACACGAAAATGTTCTCGAAATAACTACAGGTGGCTTAAGCGACGTGTGTAAGTGTATAGAAGAGAGCATAAGCAGGCATTTATATGGGAAAGAAAAGCATTAGGACAAAATTGAAAACCTACCACCTGAAATAAATAGACTTAGCATGCAAGCACGCTGTTAGTAAATCGAATGCAGCGTACCTACAAACGCTGCGCCGTTTCTGCCTACGTTCTCTGCAGGACCCGTCGTCGCTTCGGTAGTGGTCCCGAGTGGCCTCGCTCATGGCTCACTAGACCTGCCTGACTCAGGCACTCGCGACCGCATGTGCTACAGCACCATGCGCTCGAAGTCGATGGAGTCCAACCCATCGGTGCTTGCCGCTTCCGCGATTGCCGCGTTTTCTCTTCATGTAGGGGTCTTTTTTCCGCACTTCGGCAACTGCCTTCATGATTAGATCGCGCCATGTACGCCGATCAACCGCCTTCGATTCTCATGACCTGCAATCAAGATTAGAACGTGAGAGGCTCACTATATATACCAATTGCTGATTTTGAATTAATCGTACTCCGTTGCTTTGGTTATTCCTACTATGGAACTGTTTGTGTATTGGTATAGTTGTACCCGCAATCGACCAGTTGGGTCACGCCTGCTGGTTAATCTCCGCCCTTACGCTGCTCTGCTTGATGCCTTAACCAACCCTACAGGAAGGAAAACAGTAGCAAACTCAGTCGACCAGAATTGTATTAGAACCGAGAACGCTCATATTTATAGGTCGGTCTCACCAATCCTCTAATCACGGCTTGGTGGATTTGGCTACCTGTCTTCCTTGTACGCCCACGCTCCACAATTGACTGTCCGCTCCGTCTGGTTAGTCCACCGTCTTGGTCGGGCACGCCAGTCTTCACTTGCCTAGCCGGAGCATGACCACGTACATGATGTCTGATGCGCAATTTCATCACCTTCCGGTAAGATCTTGGCAACAAGCATGATGTCTGATGCGCGATTTCCTCAGCTTGTTGCTGGGCTGTGAGATCTGTCCTAAGCACGCTTTGTGGCGAACAAGCTCGCGTTGGCAATCAGCTTTCTCACCCACCTGTCAAGTATATTGTATATCAGTATAGCTACCTAATGTTCGCGCTCTCTCTTCTCCCTCTCTCATGGCGGCCGTAACCGCATCGAAGCGAAGTAGAATGTACGCCACTAACCGCAGCTTTGGGGTTGTCACGTTTGGCCATAGGGCAGTAGCAATTGGAAAGCACATGGCGATGTCTATAAGTTGGTCTGTCGATCACTTGAAAGGCCCAGTTAGATAACTGCCTCGTCAATCCAGAGTTTGCATCCTGTTAAGGTGACATTCACCCACTCACAGGGCATCGGGCCTTGCCCTCACGGACAACATCAAGATGGAGATGCCACACTTGGTTGTTAGTTATGGTGACAATTCCGCACATGAACTCATGGAAACGGAGTTGACCACGGTCAGCTAGGCTGACGACTAGTATGCGCCAAAAACTTAAAGCACGAAATACAAGTTATGAGACGACGTAACCATCTCTTGTTCTCTCACCGATCACGGAACCTACAACCAATGATAGGCACAACAGAGGTAAGGTCGCTCGAAATCGATTAGGGTACTTTTGGTGTCCGATTTGTGGACTTAGCGGTACCGCAGCAAGCTCATTTGACATTGTCATTTGTTATTGTGCACAATACGACGAGCATATGGTTGCAATGCTCGCTAGGGGAAAGTGACACCGATCGGTCGGTTGTAGGATGTTGAAAGCCTGTGCAAGTCTGTCGGGAATTCAAATGCGGGCCATTTGTATATACCGGATTTGGGTACGCGTACTATGCATAAACACGAGAGGGCAGCGTAGGCTGTTTTCGCTCAGTTTAGCCGGCGCACTGATTAAAAATAAACGACATGCTGCTGAAATGAATGGCGCAGAAGAAAAACAAGATGAGTGTTTCAAATCCCTGAATTTGCCTTCTACCCATGTAATTTCTTCGAACTACTCGGTGTCTGTTTCCTAACGTCAAGTTGGGGTCACGACAGTGTGATTTACAAATTCACAAACTGCCATTTCGAACTTTTTATCCTGCTTTACATATCCATAAGTTAACAGCTGTTTTCTAAGTACACTTTCAATATACTCTTTGTGCGCAACCACCCAAGTTGGAAGGCGTGAACTTGAGGTTTGCTTATTTGCATCATTGTGGTCAAGTGAAGCACTGCCCTAGTGAATCATTATCATGCACTTCACCGGTAACGTGCTGACCGTTGCTGTCCGTCTTACCGCTGACTCTGAATACAGACCGCTGAAATTGTCTTGGCTCAGTGCTAAGCAACATCTAGACTACGTCTACAAACTTAGTCGTACGTTAAAAACTACCGTTTCAAAATCACCTTTCACGATTTGCACTAAGTCATTTAACCTGGGAACCGGATCGCACGTGAAGCTAGGCTTATAGAGCATGCTGCTTCATCCAATGACACCGTCCTTTTCATTTCTACGCTGCGGTATATGCTGTTTCAGCCGTTGTCGAAAGATTATGCGCCAAGTATCATGGCGTCGCGCTGAGCATTGATCAAATCATCTTGGATGCTCTGGCCACCGGCTTAACAGGCGCTGCAGATCGGGCCCGCCAATGCTGCCTGGAGTCTGGTAGGGAGATGCTGCAAAAGTTGCGAAGGGCTGAAGTAGATGGCGCGCAACCAGATGTTACTTACATCGAAGCAAATACCTCCGAACAATACTTACTGGCTAAGAAAATTGCAACCGCTTCTAGAGGTGAAAAAGGCGTTACTTCAGAAGGTAGGTTTGCTATTGCGATCAAGATGACTCCACTGATTGTATCATAAATGCACTATGTTGCCATGTTTCTGGACTACGTTCCGCCTTGTCGTGTTTTTTGACAGATGTGCTCAAGCCCCTCCCAACGCTCCACAAGCAAATTGTCACCCAGGGGCAACCTGGACAGCCAGCCACACCACACCTAAGACAGCCTCCACCTACACCAAGAAAATTGTCATCGCAAGGGGAGCAGCCAGTCGAAGGGGTGAGTTGGATCTACTGATATTGTGCAGGTTATACCAAAATCCAACTATTACGGCAACTGCTACGAGGACCGACTGACAAGCCTAGTCACCAAACGTGCGCACGGTCTAGGTGGTCTAACACGAGGGAAGTGGTGGAATAACTTGTGCTAGATAAATCGTGGGTCTACAAGCACTTATAAACAGAAATACAGAATTGACTTAGTAATAGTTGAAAAGTCTAGCAGATCGATGTGAATTAATTCTAGCTGCAAGTCGTGTGACTGCAGTGATGGAGACTATGTGAACGCAGCGCAGTGAAACAAAGGCTTAAGTTTTCACTGAAAGCAGAAATGTTACACAAATAAATGAATAACTAGAGAAATAAACCTTGATGTCATTTGGTCGTTCCGACAAGTAAACATTTGTCAAGGTGAGATGGAAATGTGAGGCGTGATGGATAATATCTACCATAAATGAGCTACTCATAAATTATCAGTACAATAGTTCAGTTTCGTGAATTTCAAATCTCGCCAACAATGCCAAGTGTACAATCTGCGTGTCTGCAATCGTCTTGGCCACTATCCGCTTCACTCACTGCATATGGACGCTTTCGGCGAGGGGTACAACGAGTTGGGTTTGCAACACAAACTTTGCAAAACACGGGAGCACATATGATTTCTAGATCTAGGCAATTTGTGTAGTTAGACCAATACCAATCATAACGCCGTTATTCCATGCGCGAGATTCTTTGCTTCAACTAGACAAACTCACTGTAGTATGATCAAATGTCAACAAACCATCGAAGTCTCTCGGACAACCGGGTACACCTACTGGGATCAATCACCTACCATTTTTGGTGCGTTGCTTCCGCTGACCCGTCTGGTCACTCAAACTTCATTCACCCAACATAGAATCCATCGGGGAGGCAATGGTACTTGTTGCTCACCTATTTCAAATGCTCTACTACAACAGCTTCGCAGTGACTTTATCAGGACAGATGATGAGGAACTGGAAATGCTGATGGCAACTGTCGTAGCAAGTGTTTATGACAGGCATCAAAGCATACGTTAAACATGCTTCGTGAGTGGGTACTAGCAAGATTTGCAACTGAATACCACACAAATGGACCAAATAAGATGTTCATCAATGAAGCGATAGAGTAATAGTATATAAAATTAGAGTTGTGAGAGTGAGGTAGTTCCATACATAAAATAATAACAGTTAATACAAGTTAATGCTTACTGTAAATAAAAATCGCATTGCTCACCCTTCTGTACAGACTTAGGTAACTCGCTGTGGGTTGCATTTCCTAAGAAACCAATCATCCTGAGGAGATCTCAGGATATCCGTTCAGGTAACAAACTGTAGTGAGTTCACTACGATATCGAATCGTTTCTCGAAAGTGGCTAAGCTGGGAGAACAGGCAACTGGGCTCGAAATGGCTTTCTAGGGTTGGCAGACCCGTATTGTTGACTGTATTTTTGACTCAGTTTCCAGCTGGCTTACCGAACAACCTCCTCGTGATGCCATCTGGGTGCTTCGGGATTTTCCCGTTCCAGCAAATGGTGCCGCGGCAGTGTTCCAGGACGTGGTGGGTTTTCGCCTGGCAAGCGTTCTCCCTATAAAAAGCCACATATGTCCGTTTAACAACACTGTGACGTGGCGGAAGTGACTCGCCACTAAATAAAGTCATTGCCCCTTGCTTCATCCTGGCGATGCATTGTATTCCAGCAACTTTATGCTATAATCCTGGAGAGCATTGGCCCCTGTTTGACAAAGGAACAAACGAAAGCCGTATGAACTGAGCAATCAGTCACCGGCTCCCAGTGGGCGCGATTTCCTGAATTCACTCCGCTGCCTTGCGGCAGGCTATTCAGCCAAAGGCTCGGGGTGGTGTCCCCTAATTCAACACCTTACTTCGGCTTGGGCAACCGGGTAGTATCTCGCCCTCTGACGAAACCATGGACTTTGATGTGTTGTGTTTTATTTTGATATTGCTGTACCTTCTTTTGAGTTCCATGATTTCCGATGGCTCAATGTCTATTCATAGATTGTTGTAATATATATATATATATATATATATATATATATATATATATATATATATATATATATATATACGCCTGATCCTGTTCCGCCTAAGTAGGCTGAAAGATTTGAATACCCATGTTCGTTCAGACCTGGACCCAGTAGAGATGGAGCGACTCAAGTCGGCCATCATTGAGCTGAAAAGACGCACTGGTGAGGCGGAAACAAATTTTCGTGAAAAGACATGCTTCCGGGCCCTAGGAAACAACAGTCTATCGAAAAGCGATGCACACTGATCATATCTTCAACATTGCAGTAACCATCTGACCAATTACAAGCGCAGTTGCGTGAGGACACTTTTCAAACGGGCCCAAGTACACTGTAGTACGCTGCAGCTGAATGCGAAGGAAGAACACCTAGTTAACATATTCCAGCGGAATTCGCACCCTAAAAGTTTTATTCTACGCTGCCTGAAGTCGAAAAATCAACCACTGCCCGCTTCCGCAAGCGTCACGGAAAGGAAAACAGTCGTTCTACCTAACATCCATGGGATTTCTGAGATGGCGGCGAGACATTTAATGGATCACAGGATCAAGGTTGCACATGAAGCAACGGAAAATATTCGGAGTAAAGTTTTTAGGGCAAAAGACCAACCAAGTACAGAAGAAACCTCAAGTGTGGTTTACAGAATTTTCTGCAAAAACTGTGACAAGTACTACGTGGGACACACAGGAAGAAAACTTGGCACAAGATTGCATGAACATAGTGTGTCCATCCGCAGCCATGCTGAAAAATCACTAATGTCAGTACATATGGATGCCAAAGGCCATCAGTTCGATTTGGGGAGTGCCAAGATACTTGAAAGAGCAAAGAACCGCAGAGCGTGTGGGCTCCTCGTGGCCTGGCATTCGGGCCAGAACTCAATCAACAAGCATCTAGTACTAGAAGGGGTCTACGAAGCTCTGCAGGTGAGGTCAAGAATAAGTGCCAGCTCTACAAGGGGTAGACGTAGCCACTTGGCCGACCCACATGATCCAATGGAAGATACATTCAAAGCAGGACGCTATCAATAGTCACTTGGATCTGGCAGTAGCTTACGAGACTCTTCAAATCAGACATGTACAGCCGCACTGAGGATGTTGCTTAGCTTGGCAACGAAACGTCTGCAGCCGAATTGCCTAGCTCTGAGAACATAACAATCCTCTTATCCACATCCTGAACTACAGGTATTCTCAATAATTCCTAAAGGTTGGCAAGGCTGGATGGGGTATTCGACATGGACACACATGTTGGTTTTGAGTATCAGAGAGAAGATGGATGAACCCAAACAACTGAATGCTCTTCGCAAGAGTCCAACATGTTGGTTCCAACTTTTTGAAGCGTACTCGGACTGTCAGCAACAACCTTAACCGTTCTGTACCAGAACACCGAGGTCACATTCCTGACAGCTTGTCTGCAGCTCATGTGCCTCAAGCTTGTAGATGTAGGCGAGTCTATGGCGGATGTTGCCAATGCGGCACTTGTCCATATTGAATGGAAGCACCTCCCTTGCTGACTAATTCCAGGCTTCACCGAGGTCACGCTGGATGGCCCCAGGGTCATCTAATCCAGCTATTTTCAACGGGAGCCATATGGCCTCCTGGGAGCCATAGGGAATTAAAGGGGGACCCTGACGGGAGTAAATGTATTAGAGGGGCCATGGGGGCCACAGGAGACCATGCTGTGAAAGAGTGAGCCATGATAAGATGTAACAAAATTCATTTAAAATGTTTTCTCTGCGCGCTAATCTCCCCTGGTAAATACCGGTAGATGAAATGGATTACAGGTGCGTTTGACTGCTTACGAAGATGTGAATTCAGATCGGGTAGGCTTTCCATTACGGAGCTAGTAGAGTCCCGCCTAACTTTCGCAGCTTTCGCCTGACTCACCTAAAACATACAATCACAATACGATGACCAAGCTGCGAAACTAACAACCGATTCGTCTGCAGGAGCTAGATGCCTATCTACAGTGAAGCAACTGAGATTTATTCAGGATACTGATGCATCTACTGTGCAAGCTGCCTTGAACCTAGTGAACACTCCTGGGAACACCGTGGTAGATACCGCACGAAGCCACACTGAAACTAATTGAGTTTTCCTCAGGACACAACCTCTCTGTGACTACTCATGTGCCGATCAGTCTTTCTTGTTGGGTCTCGGTGCCGTAGGACTAGGTCACACGTGTTTCGTCATCAGTCCCAGCTTGCGTGCACCTCCCGCAGCTGGGTCACGTTAAGCCCGCAAGTTTTCGAATTCAAATATCTACTCTGCGCGCTGAGGTACTATCTCTGCAGGACGTTCGTTCGTTCCGACTAAGAGTCGAAACAGCTAGAAAGCGTCATAACGCTTAGTTAACATTCAGGTCGACTGAAGTTTTCAAATTAACGAGCAGCTTTGTTAACTTACATCATAAGTGTGGACATCCGGTTTCGCTGGTGAGCATATAACATAAGGTGCACATAAGGATATTTCCAACTACTCATGATAATCAACCGCCTTGCAAGCACGCATTGGGCAACATGTTTGGCAATAACCGATGTACGTTATTAGTTTCGTTGTTGACTCTCCCGTACAGGTCTCTTGAACTGTCCGGCATTTTCTTTTTGTTTGTCTCTTCTGTTCTACATTTTACCTGTTGTCACTGTTTGCCACAACTTTCCTGCAATGCATGTGTGTGCAGTGAGCAATGTCATTTTCTGAGTTCCCTTAGTTTTCTTCATTGGCTTTCGTCAAGAAGTTTCCTTCAGTCATTATAGCTAATCACGGTATTTTCAAAGTGATCCTCAGAAACAACCTTTGGGTTGCCTCTAACAGTGTTTCTACACTTTAACTTTTTAACAGCATAGCCACCAACAGATATTAAAAGTATGCTTGCCAAACGTCTTATAGCCTTACAGTCAAGAAAGAATAAAGTTAGTACCGCTAAACATTCATACTGCCTGCGTGTTTAG